CATGTCTAAAATCCGTATATGAGTGAGTACAAACCATGTTTGTCTTTTTGTGACTGGGTCACCTCACTCAGGATGGTTTCTTCTAGTGCCATCCATTTACCTGTGAATTTCAAGATTCCATTGTTTTTTTTTTTCTGTTGAGTAGTAGTCTATTGTGTAAATGTACCACATTTTCTCTATCCACTCTTCAGTTGAGGGGCATCTAGGTTGCTTCCAGGTTCTGGCTATTACAAATAATACTGCTATGAACATAGTGGAGCAGATGTACTTGTTGTATGAATTTGCATCTTTTGGATATATGCCTAAGAGTGGAATTGCAGGGTCTTGTGGTAGATTGATTCCCATTTTCCTGAGGAATCTCCATACTGAGTTCCAAAGTGGCTGTACGAGTTGGCACTCCCACCAGCAGTGGAGGAGTGTTCCCCTCTCTCCACATCCTCTCCAGCATAAATTGTCTTTGGTGTTTTTGATTTTAGCCATTCTGACAGGAGTAAGATGGTATCTCAGAGTTGTTTTGATTTGCATTTCCCGGATGCCTAAGGATGTTGAGCACTTTCTTAAGTGTCTCTTGGCCATTTTAGCCTCCTCTATTGCGAATTCTCTATTTAGTTATGTACCCCACCTTTTAATTGGATCCGTTGGTGTTTTGGAGACTTATTTCTTGAGTTCTTTGTAAATTTTGGAGATTAGCCCTCTGTCAGATGTGGGGTTAGTAAATATCTTTTCCCATTCTGTGGTCTGCCTTTTTGTCTTGTTGACTGTGCCCTTTGCCTTACAGAAGCTTCTTGGTTTCAGGAGATCCCATTTGTTAATTGTCGATCTCAATGAATGTGGTGTTATGTTCAGGAAGCGGTCTCCTATACCAACTGGTTGAAGAGTATCTCTCACTTTCTCTTCTAGCAGGGCAGTGGTGGTGCATGCCTTTAATCCCAGTACTCGGGAGGCAGAGACAGGCGGATCTCTGTGAGTTTGAGGCCGGTCTGGTCTGACAGCCTCCAAAACAATACAGAGAAACCCTGTCTTGTAAAACCAAAAAAAAAAAAAAAAAAAAATCAAGTGTTCCTAGGTGTGTGGGTTAAAATCAGGGTTTTCAATTGGGTTCCATTGATCTACCTGTCTATTTTTCTGCCAATATCAAGATGTTTTCAGGACTATAGCTGTATAATAGAGCTTGAAGTCAGGTATGGTGATGCCTCCTAATCTTAATGATTCCTTATTCAGCCTATAAATTTCATGATCTCTATTCTGGAGGTAGCTCCTCTATCTAGCCATTATGGCCAGAATTCTTTGGAGTTGTTCTCATTTCTTTTTCTACTCTATCATGTTCAACAAGCATATCAGTTGTCTCCTGTGTGTATTGCTTCCGTACTTAGTTCTCATCATTGTTATTTGGGTTGTTACAATGATCTATGTTGCTTTTCCTGCTTTTAGTCTAGTTCTCCACTGGTGACTGCCCTCTGTACCTAGACGAGTTGTCTAGAGTGTAAAACTGACCTTGTAATTTTCTGTTCTCCTTCACATTTCTCCCTTGTCTCCTCAGCATTGAAATTGCTTCACACAGCATCAAATATGCATTTAATACATGTTTGATTGAAAGCAGTTGATACAGAAAGAACCCTTTGAGTTATATATAAGGGATACTGCTTTCTCTTCCTTTCCTCCCTCCCTCTCCTCTATCTGTTCTTGTTCTACCTCTTTTATTCATCTTTTTTAAAAGACAGGGTCTCATGTATCTTAGCCTAGCCTTGAACTTACTTTAGTCCTCTGACTTACCTTCTAAGTGCCGGGACTATAGGTATGCACTGTCATGTCTGGCTGTAGAAGGTTTTATATAGGAGAAATTTGTTTGGATTTTGGAGAAAATGTTGTATTCAGTTATATTTTCAGGTAAAGAAATAATATGAGTATAAAAGTGGAAATGTCCCTAGTGTTTTAGGATTTTATCTGACCCAAGTGGGAGAGGCTTTGAAGTTTGGACTTCTTCTATTTTACTCTTCACTCCTAATTTGCATTTACTGTGAACAGGAACATTGGTTGAGGTGGTAGTGGAGGTGACGGGCTTCATTATGTTGGAATCAAAGTGATACCAGAAAATACCAGCAATATAGGAATCTGGAGATGTGCTGCTGAGTCTTGGAGAAGTGAGAGAGAACAAGAGTTGAGGAATTCTCAAGGAAGAATAGATATGAAGTGATAAAGAAAATGAAAATTATCTACTGAAAGTTTGGACAGAAAGAAAGTGAAGACACTGGTGTTAAGGTGTCAATCCTATTGTGTGCTTTGTATTCTTTTCCTCATAGCCCAGGCTTGTTCTCAGAAATTAGCTAGTTGGTGCTGCAGCAGCTCTGAGTATAAATGTTCTTGGCACAGCTGCTTATCTTCTTAGGAAAGAACTCTGAAAGGTTCTGAGTGGAAGTCTTCATAAATTTGAATGCCACGTTTTCATGATGATCTGTGTCGTATTTATTTGTATGTATATTTTGTCTTCACAACCTCCTTCTACTCTCATACATTTTGAAAGATGGTGATTTGAATGGGCATCCATAATGGTAATATCTGAGTATTTATGTGATTGTTCCATATGAAGTTTTGCATTTTCATCTGGGCTGCTTCCTGCATGGCAGATTATCTGTGATGGAGCCTTTACAGACATGGAGAAGTCATTGCTTGGACTATGAGCACTAGCTCTGGTGCTTTGGATTACAACAAAAAAGCCTGTGACTTCTAGTAAGGGGCTCACCACTTCAACAATAGTGACTGGCACCTACTGTCTTGTTTTCCTAAATTGATAGGAAAACCATGTCAGCAACAGCCACAACACCACCACAAACAAAACAAAACAAACAAAAATAAAAAATTGAAAAGTTTTCCTTAGGTACTTATGGTCTCAGGTTTAATGTCAGTGTCTAATGTGGCTCCTCTGGATTGCTTCTGCTAAATTAGCAGTATCTGATTGATTGTGAAAGAACACTAATTTGCTTGGGATTTGATGTTAAGACATACTTATGAACAGCTTTGCCCTTGGCGTTCTGAAAGAGGGTAGAGAAAGAAGGGAGCAAGCAGTCACTATACAATTGAAGATTACTCAATAGGAAAGCATGGGAGTTGCCCATTTCTTTGTCCTCCTTAGTCATTGGTACTGTGTGTGTGGTCTGCAGTAGGTACAGTGCAGGAGACTGTCTCACTGAGAGGTGTAGAAAGAATGATGTACTTAATGAGATCATGAATGGGTTTCTTTTGTATAGGCCTAAATTGTTTGTGGGTTCCTTCTCTAGGTTTGTTACTGAAGTCATGAATTTGATGTAAGTGAACCCAGAATGCCAGTGGATAATACGAAGAGAAACAAGTTTGTGCATTGATTCAGATCTCTGGAATGTAGATTCTTTTCATTTTGTTTTGTCTGAAACTAGCCCACATAGTTCAAGTTTTTCTGTCTTGTTATAGTTGTTTCATTTGACCAGTACTTTAACTGATTTCTAATACTGAAAATTTGCCCTGAATTCCTTAATCTCATTCAGATTCATTGTCACTTATTTTCTCATGAACTCATTTCTGCTTATCATTAAGAAGGAATATGCTGATTAATATATTGATTTTCAAGAAGTCATGAGTTCAAGTTTTGTACCTTCGCATGGTATGGAAAAACAAAGTTTCATGAAGAAAAACTTGCTGGAACATTCTGGGTTTAACCAAATTACCCACAAAATTTAAGAACAGTCATTCTGAGCTTTTTTTTTTCATGTGTGTGATATGTATGTGTGTTCACATGTGCCTGTGGAGGCCCTACATTGGTGTTGGGTTTCTTCTTTGATTACTCCCTACCATATATAGTGAGTATGAGTTTCTCACTTGAACCTAGAGCTTGCTGACTTGGCTAATCTCATTATCCATTTTGCTCCAGGAATCTTCTGTCTCTGCCTCTCAAGGATATTCAACATGCATTGTGTCTGTTGATATGGCTATAGAGCCCTCCCTTATTTTGGAAAACGTGTGCTATGCTCTTAGGTTGTTGGTGTATAATGAAGGACAAATGTCTGGAACTTAGGAGATCATACTTTGAATTTCTGCTAATTGCTCATTATTATTTGACTTGGAGTGAATCCTTTGTCTTAGCCTCAATTTTCTGAGAGTGACTAAGGTCACTTCTAACTGCACAGTGTGGTTAGAGGTTATATAGTTTACTCTGGGTGGGACATTCTCTCTCTTTGGGTCTATTCAAAGTATACTGTCATTTTAGCTAATTTTGTTATGTTGAGTTTATACTTCCTTTTTTTTGTTAAATTCCAAAAACTAAATCTTTTACCCCTCCCCCAATAGGCTGCATTTGCTAGTTCAAAACACTTCCTGAGAAATATCAGTTTTAAGATAATTCATCCTCCTGATTATATTTTATTGGTTTCATATCCAAATAACTGTTTTTAAAGAGTTTTTCCTTACTTAAATTTATTGCAGCTAATTCTAAGTTGCTGTCCCATTTTTGTCATTTCAGTATTGCCTTTCTTTGTAAGAGATAACCACTAGGCTTTTTGTACTACCACACTTTTGGCTATACAGGTGAAAATGGAGTGGGTAGAGTTGTTACTGGTTGTTCAGCCAATATTTAAAAAGACCTATGATAGTATCAACAGATTGTCTTTTTTTTTCTGTGTTGACTTTGAAAAAGGGTCAATACAGGATAACTTCAGGGCAAAGAGCCATATGTTAAACTGAATTTGTAGATGCAGACCTGGAATCCCAGTACCTGGGAGGTGGAGACACGAGGATGAGGATTAGGATCCAGGACATTCCTCTGTGCCTGGGCTACACAAGACCCTGTTTCAAACAACAACATGTATGAAATGCTACATTTAATTTTACTTTTAGGTAAAAATATTAAGAAATCTTTTTTTCCTATAAGGTATTGATTTACTCAAGATTAGCTAATTGGAAGCTTGAGTTTTGTTTTTTGTTTTTTTCCCTTCTTTGTTTCATTATTTCCTGTATTTTTCTCTATATCCTAGGCCCAACAGCAAAGAAACCTGGATAACATTGTCTTGCAACAGCCTAGAATAGGTAGCAAGAGAAAATCTAAGAAAGATGTTTATACAATCTTTGATGCAGAGATCGAGAGTACAAGCCCAAAGTCTGAACAGGACTCAGGAATTCTGGATGTTGAAGATGAGGAAGATGATGAAGAGGTAAGAAATATTCAAGTTGGGGAAATGAGGTAGTTTTTAAACTCAGTATTTGATGTCTGAAATGTACTTATTTACACAATAGCTGTGTGATTTTTTTTTTTTTTTGGACATTAGCTATGGCGTTAAAAGTTAATTGAGCCCTGTCTTAAATTGAAGCTGCACAAAGATAATCCATATCTTAAATGCTAATTTTTTAAAAAAATCATTATATTTGATTACTCCATCATGGAAGGAAGGAGGGGTGTTGGTCTGACTTAAAGCCAGATAGTAAATGGATTCTCCTGAGTCTTAGACAGTGTCTTCAGATCAACAAAAGATGTTACTTAGGTTTTCTTTTCCTTTTCTTTTTAGTTATATTCATTGTATAAAATGATAGCCTTCCTTATGGCATTTTCATTGAAGTATATTTTATACTTTTTCTATACTTTGTTCATACTCAGCCCCTTATTACCCTATTTTGTTTTCTAATGCCCTTCATTGGGTGCCTTCTTCTTCCAAATGTGTCCCCCGCTAATTTTCATCATATATATATATATGTTTTCTTCCATGTAGAATCCAGACTTTAAAACATATATTGTTCTTCTAAATACAAACAATAACCTAAGCTAGGTTAGGTTTTGTTTGTTTGTTCATATAGTGATTGGAAACATCAACCTTAGTATCAGACTATTCAAGTTCTGGGCTGCATTTTACTTAAAAATGTTAGTAGTTGTTTATCATCTACTCCAGAATGGCCCCAGGCATGCAGGAGGGGCACTCAGCCCTGTGGTTAGTGCCTATTTGTCTCCTTTCCACTGTTTCTCTAGGTAAAACCTGGGACACTCTGTTCACCACTGGTGTCCTCTCTTACACCTTCCTGTCTTCTTTGCTTCCCTTTGATCTTTGAACTACTCAAGAATGTGTCACTTTCTAACTTTGTAATCTTAGGGAAGTTGATTAATTGCTATCTTAATCTGTCAAATAATCATAGTAGTTCTTAATCTGTAGAGTTATGTAAGTATGTGATACATAAAAAACATAGTCAACAAATGCCTAGCTTTTGTCTTATATTTATTACTTTTCCTTGCTGACTTCCATTGTAGTTCGCTATTATTATTCCTTATATATTTAAAAAGTCAAGTCTATTTAAGCGGCTTTGAATGAAAAAATGAATAGCCAAATCATCTATAAAATATTAGTGTTGAAGTTTGAATGTCTCGGGCAGTATCTCACAAATGCATAGGAATGTAGCATAGCCCTATCAAGGAAGATGAATTAGACTGAAGTGATTCAGTGGTTGAAAGCGCTTGCTGTTCCTGCAGAAAGCCCAGAGTTTGGTTCCCAGCATCTACATTCAGTGGTAGGGGGTAGGGGTTGGGTGGGGTGGTAGTGTGTTACAGCTGACTCTTGCTCACATGCATGCTATAAAGATGAGATAACACTTTTTAATGTTTTGGATATTGATTAATGAAGTAAAATTTGCACTGTGGCTTATGGAAACAGAAGCTAGTCATAATCTGTACCCTAAGAGAATATACACACAGAAGAGGTGACTGTAGGGTAAAAGCAGAGAGTAAAATATGCACCCAGTTCTGATGTATCAACTGTGATTCTTTTGTGTAGAAGCCAGTCTTTATTAATAATTCACTGGCATTCCCAAGGTCTTCCCTATGAATCTGTGTGCCATGTTTCTATGCTTTAGCTTGTGAGATCCAGAGAGAATGAAGAAGTAGGGGGAATGAAATATATTGGCAGGAGCCTCATAGTGAAAGTATTAGAAGAATGCACTAGGAAGGTAGTATTCTAAAATGACCCCACATCCCAGTCAGACACCAGTCCGCATTAGAGATCTGCTGATTGAGCTCCTAGAACAAGAATTCAGCACTTCACTGTCTAATGGCATCCCATCTTATTCCTACCTTATATTTATTTACTTCTCAGTTTGAATCTTCTTCAAGTGCACATTCTTAATCTCAAACCTCATGTAGAGAATTATTTGTTTAGATGTCTCCAAACTGGCTTCTTGGCATAGTTCTTGCATGTTGTGAATAAATTCTTCAGATAAGGTCTTTCGTGACCTACTGTGACGTTCTGACCTTCATTCTTGTCGTTCTTCAGCAGACCTCATTGAGAGCAGCATAGTTTTTGAAGTAACTTTGAATCCAAGAGCAGGGTAACTGTGGCATAAACTCCTACAGGGCAAGGTTCTAGTCTACTTGTGATCATATATTGCTTTGAGAGTTTGATTCAAACAGAGTCTCTTCCTAAGAAGATGTGTATATTCATGTGAGAAAGTAAGTTCATGGATTTAAGGAGTTCATTTGACCCCAGGCATCAAGTGAAGAACCCTCATTATAGAACAGTTCTTCTTGAACATATGTGTGTTTAAGGCTCTTCTGGGAGTCAAGTTAAGATTCAGGTAGTGATGATCCCAGGAGAGCTGCATGCTCACCAAGGTTCTACGTGAAGATGATGTCTTCGGACTCCGGACATAGTTTGAGTAATAAGGCTGAGGAGAACCTTGAGGAAGCTTTTTAAAGTGCATGAGTAGAAACTAGTCACAAAATGCCCAAGTTTTGTTTTGATTTTTCTATTAAAATGTTTTAACATTGTTTTTGTGTGTAAATAAGTATAGTATTTAGCCATGTGTATGCTTATATCTGTAATCTCAACATTTGGGAGATGAAGACAAAGTAGATTAGGAGTTCAAGGACAGCCTTAGAGTTTGAGTTTGAGGCCAGCCTGAACTACAGGTGGCTTTATCAAACAAAACAAAACACCCTCCCAAACAAAACCCTAACTAGCCAACTGAAACAAAAAAACAGTACATAAATGCACCAACTGAAAAAAGGGAAAAAATTAAAATTCAGTGGGCTCAAATAATTATATTTTACCTTTAAAACTCTATTACTTGTAGTACACTATCAAAATATTGTATAGTTCTAATTTAATAAGTTTGTGTATCTTATTTTTTCTCTTTCTCTGGTTGGTGTATGTATGCATGTGTGTGCATGCATATATATGTGTGTACATATGAAGCCAGAAGTTGCTAGTGGGAGCCTTCCTTAGTTGTTTCCATCTTATTTTTGGAGACAGTCTCTGAGTGAACCTGGAGATCATTTATTCAGCTTTAGCTAGGATGGCTGGTCAGCAAGCCCCAGAGATCCCTTTTTCTCTGCCTCCCCATCACTAAGATTATGGGCATGCATCACTTTAGCACTTTACTGACTGAGACATCTCCCCAGCCTCTTTCCTATGCTTTTAGTGGACATATGTTTAAATATATTTTTTGAGCAATGACATTTTAAGGTGTTTACTATATCTTTGCCTAATGGTGCCTAACTAGAAATCATGGAATAAAGTTAGTAGGAAAGCTCAAGCACCTACATAATAGCTGTTTATACATAAAGCAGATAGCTAATAAATTGTTAAAGTTAATTTTGTTTTAGAGATGAGAAAAGCTGAATAGCCTGGGGAAGTGAACAATGAAGCCCCAAGTTTGTCATTGTGGATGAAAAACAACCGTCAAGTTAATACCAGTTTATACAGTCAGTCTCACTCTCCCAGTTTATTGACCTGTGATGGAGTTAACCTCTTACTACTGAGCAGACTTGCAAAAAAAAGTACTGTAGCACGATAAATAAAAGACCCAGAACCAGATATTGGGGTTCAAGCTTCAAGCTAAAGATAAAGCAAAGCAGCCAAGCCAGGAGATTTTACCTATACCCAGCTGAAATGTAGTCCTGTATCCACAATCCTCAGAAGCAAAATGCTTTTAATCCCTGTCTCCTGCTGCTTATATTCCTTTCTCTGCTCCTGTCTCCACCTCCCTAGTGCTGGGATTAGAGGCATTTGATCCCAGGTGCTGAGATCACCTTTGTGTGAGCTGTTTCTTTTAGGACTGGATCAATTTTGTGTCGCCAGTGTGGCCTTGAACTAACAGACACTGTCTACTTCTTAATCCTGAGTCCTGGGATTAAAAGTGTATGCCTGGCTTCTATGACTAACTAGTATGACTGCTTTGCTAGTTTGATCTGCAGTAGCTTTAATAAATCATAAACGATATTTCACCACCAAGTATTTCCTAATAACACTTTATTTTAGTTTTGATGAAGCTAATAATTGGTCATAATTAAGATGCATTTTGATTAACTAGTCATATCTTGTATTTAGTCAGCTTTTAAAAATGGACAGCTTAGTTAAATTGATTTTTTAGTGGAAAACTGTGATATAGAGATTGCTTCGAACCTGAAATAGACGATGATATATATGTGGGTATTAATTCTTCTCTAAATGCCCATATAGAACTTTTTCAAAAATTAGAATGTTTTTATAATCCTAGATTTACCAGTATTACCATTTTGGGATCACTTGAAGATAAAACAGGAAGTAACTTGAAACTGATACCATACCCACACAGTTTGACAATGTGTCTGCTGAGAGCTGGGCTGTTGTGAGCATAACATAGCATCATGTAGAATGATCTTGTTGTAGTGCAGACAGTGCCACACACATATAACTGTCATGACAGTATAATTATATGCATTCAAAAAGAATAAAAGTGAACTGTAAGTTGATATCCTTTTTGGTAACTTGTGTTTGCATGAACTTAAACAAAACCACAAAACTTTTCTGAACTAGGGAAGCATTGAGTTTGCAATAGTTCCAAAGAGCAACGTCTATGATTTCCTCCTTGTTCCAGGTTCTCAGAACCCCTGTAACCTCAGAATGTTTTCTTAGTGCCACACATAGGACACACTTCATATTCTAGTTTGTAGCTCTCATAATTTTACGTAAACTATTAAGGTCAGGTTTACCATGACATTCATACCAACTGGAATAAAACCTACTAGAATAGAATACAGGTCAAATTAATGTTGGCTGAATGGTTTAAGTGTTTCAAGGGTTAGCTCTTGCAATTTTCCCTCCACACACCCCACTACCACCAAAAGCCCAGAGTTAGTAAGAAGGAACTACCAATTTGCTTAGAAATTATGCAGTGAGGACCTTTAGGGATGTTC